TTTGAGGTGTTAGTGAACTTCTCTCAAGGTTATTCCAAGTATTGTGGTGTTGTGTGAGACATTTGAGGCATCACACTTGAGGTGCTAGGTTCACAAGGTTTCCAAGTAATCCAAACAACATAAGGTATGTTCTACAACTAGCATTTATGTTTAAAGGTTCCTCATGCTATGCTAGATAGGTTATGAACCTTGGAAATCAAATTTGCATGTATTATAGAAAAACATAGATCCAAGGTTTCTAGGGTTGCATGTACACCATAGGAGTGTTAGAATGCTCAAAACCCATCAACACCTTCTTCTCCAACAACTTAAAATACACTCTATAAGCTCACACACTCAAGGAAAGGATTAGGGTTTGGGGAAAACGGATCTAAACAGTGGAGGCTGAGGTAAGGGAGGGTTATGAGCTCATAAGGTTGTTTATATGACACCCAAACCCTAAATATTAGGGTTTCCACCTAACGTGAGTACGCCCAGCGTACTCTCTTGATCCCAAAGTTGCAACTTTAGCCCTTAGACTTCTCATGGGTCGACTCCTCTAACCCCCAGGGACTACAAATGACAAAATAATAATAGAATAGAGGATTCAGAAATACCTGCAAAATCTCGGGATGTTACACACGCAAGGCCCTCCAAGGCTATAACATCAATACTAAGCTTCCTACACGGTTTTAGTGCATGGAAAGGGGCTAATCTATATAAAGTGAGCAACTTTATGTCATTGGGGACCTAGAGAGGTCCAGATCTAGAACCATATCCTTGTGATAAGTCCAGATCTGAGTTTGACCCCATTTTGCACCAAAAATGGTCATTTACTTTCAAGAAAAGGGATCTAAGTAACTAGGGATCAAGGTAACGACTTTATACATCAAGATGATGGCCGATACAGAGTAGATGTCGGATCTACTGCTTCCCTCCTTGCTCCTTCTTCTTCAATCTCTATAATCCTTCACAAATACCCCAAAATTGCTCACAAAAGCTCTTTCTCTCGCTCAAGAAGGTGCAAGGTCGAACTAGGGTTTTCTCTGGCTAATAGGGTGATAAGGGAGGCCACAAGAGGCGGATTATGTTCTTTAAATAGGGTGCAAACCCTAAAAATTAGGATTTCTCTTTACAGCTCCTGCTCGTCGATTCGGGGCCTTCCAACTCGTCGAGTAGAACCCAAATCCCGTAGTCTCTACTCGACGAGTTTGAGCACCCCAACTCGTCGAGTCCATGCACAAAACCCTGAAACTTATATAAATTAATCAATACCTGGAACAGGTGTTACAAAACCACTTTAACTAAATTTTAATTTAGATAATATATATATTTAATTTAAGAGGTATAAGTTACAAAGTTTTTTGTACAAATAAATTATACATAAATAATTCATTAATATTTGCCAAAACTTTGAAGACTTGAATTAAGGAAAGTAATTAAGAAATTCAATTTGAAAAAAATGAAAAAATTAAAATATTAAATTCATGTATATAAATTAATTTACATTTTTTAAACTAAATATCAATATTAATTAATTTACATCAACAATATAAACAAACAATATAAATATAAGGTATAAAAATAAATATTTTATTTAAAAGTGATAATTTTTTTATTACATAGTAACTAATACGAAAATCTAATAATTATTTTCCATAAGAAACATTTTGCCAAAAAAGCTATCTACCGTCGCCGCTTTGCGCGGGCACACATTTAGTTTAGATAATATATTTTTGTTTAACTTTGAACTTTAAATCAATTATTTAATTTATTTTAATTATTTTAAATTTAACTGTTTTTATTTTTATTTGTTTATTATATATTGATGGAAATTCTCTTAAAAATTAAAACTTCTAGCCCAAATTTACACGTATTATAAATTTGATTCATTATATAGTTGGGAAGGACTTAGGTCAGCTCTATGGTGGTTTTGGTCAAGATACGTGTGATACGGGCTTTTGATATGTGTGTTATAAGATAAGGGAAATCGAACCCCAAACCTTGTTTTGGTAAACTAATGCCTTGACTCCTTGGCTAGACTATTATTTTGATTAAAAAAATTCACAAATATTAAAATTTGGAAAAATCTATAAAAATAATTTTGGATTAGTTTCGTACAAAAATAAAAATCTTGTCTAAAAGTATGTATAAAAAAATGTTAGACGGAACAAACTTGGATCAGGATATGTGTAGGACGAACAAGTGATATGTGTGTTAAAAATGAGGGGGATGGGATGGATCTAGGGCTGACAATTCTCGACACGACCCGCGACACGACACGAAATAAATGAGTTTGGTTTGAGTTTTTCAACCCGCTAACCCGCTAACCCGCCAACCCGCCAACCCGTTTATTAAACGGGTCATATATGGGTTTCTCAAAAAATAAACGGGTTGACCTGTCAACCCGTCTATATTCTTAATAAAAAAAATTATTTTATTTTTAAATGTATTTATGTATCAAGTATTAATATTTAATAAGTATTATATAATATATACCATTGATTCATAGACCATTTGACTGTTTTAACATTTTGACTCGTGGTGGATGGTCTAAAGTCGTACGTCGTAACCTATAAGGCTAAGTCTGTAACATGTTTCTATAAATGTTTTTAATTTTCATTTGGATGTTTAAGACTTAAATGTCTAAAATTCGGACCCACGCACCCAAATCTGACCCACGAACCCGCCAACCTGTGAACCCGTATAAATAAATGGGTTGGCGGGTCATATATGAGTTTATGTTCGAAACCCGCCAACCCGTGACCTGTATATTTAAATGGGTCGTGTTTGGGTTGTCATATTTTGACCCGCCAACCCGCGACACGCCAACCCGAACACGACACGATTGTCAGGCCTAGATGGATCTCCAACCTCGTTGTCGTAAACTAATACATTGACCCTGTATACCTTTTGATTTAAAACACACAAATATTAGAATTGAAAAAAAATTCTATAAATTGTTTTGGATAAATTTCATAACAAAAATTAAAATATGGGTCAACATTGTTGAAGAAAATTTAAATATGCATGGGACGAACTTGTGATCCACAATTCCACATGTTAAAAACATTAGGGGATCGAACTCCCAACTTCGTGGTGGTAACCTAATTCCGTGAAGACTTGGCTAGAAACATTTTTTATCAAAAAATAAAAATTCACAAAATATAAAATTGGGCAAATTTTATACAAAAAAATGGACCAATTTCAAAACAAAAGTTAAAATCTTGCCAAAACTATAAAAAAGAAAAGTTGGGTAGCAGGAGTTAGACTGTAATTGATTTTAGTGAAGATACGAGTGAGACGGATTACGATGGACTGGCTGTAAGAAAAAAATAAGAGAAAACAAGAGAAATCGAACCCCAACAACATTGCTAGAGTAAACCAAGACTATTATAAATTTAGACAAAATTGCAAAAAGGGACAACGTCGTTATCAAAAATTCTATGAATTTTGTTCAATAAAGTTTGGTGGTGCTTTTGGTCTTTATGGTTGACATTTTTATGGTTTTGGTTCATGCCTACTTGAAATGACAAAGATGCCCTTAAATAATTCATTTTTAATTTCTTTTAATTATTTTATTATTATTTTAATTAATAAACCAAAAAGAAAATCTCACCTACCCACCCCACCCCTCCTAATTTCTTTTAATGTTTGGAACCCCCACCTGGTCACCACCACCGTCGGACCGCCACCCTCCCCACTGGAACACCACTGATTCCTTTGACACCTACTATATCACATTCACTAGAACCTCCATAAACCGCCCTTATACATCAACCAACAACCACCTGCATCACATCAGACCACTTACACCACACCAGCCAAAAAACCCCCTTTATCCTCCATCTGTTTCAAACTCTTTATTCCAGCCAAGTGTATCATCACCACCAAGATGAACCCTACTATAAATATGAAGATTTATTCAGGTAGGCATGCGACTAGGGTTTGTGTATCCTAGCTTTGGAAAATGTAGGGGTGAACGGCAACCTGGAAATGTTTCCAAGTCCATGATCGTCCCTTTCCAAGATCCAGAAATCAAAAATGGTTCTAAAAATCAATTCACCTATCGAAATCAGAGGAAGGGAAAAGTAGGGAGGGACCGGAGGTGGGCCAATCAGCGTTTGGATGAACAAGATTGGTTCTAGTGGTAGGTTTATTTCGAATGAAGAACCAAATGAGTGGTAGTGGTTTTTCATAGAAATGGTGGAGTGTTGGCTAATGACAGTCGTCGCTCCTCTGTGTTATCGACGTTCGTTTCTCCTAGCTTTGTTTATGCATTGATCTGACAGTTGTACCAACATAAGAAATAGAAAAGAGAGGCGGAGAATTTCTCGATCCAGATTTGTGTCTCGATCTGGATGAACTCCGGTGGGCGATGATGTTGACGGGTAATTGCGAGAATGGAGGTTGTGGAAGACCAAATCAGTGGCAGAGGTGGTGGCGGCGATGAACCAGATACATCCCATCGAGCACGTTTTTTCGACGAGAATGGTGGCCGACAACGGTGGGGGAAGTGGCGGCGGTGGTGACTTTTTCCGGTGTGGAGGCAAAAATTAAGTTGTTGAAAATGTTTTAGGTGTAAGTGGTGGTGGTGACATTTAGATATGAGAGAGAGGGTGAACCCTTTTTTATTTTTAATTAATAAAAACAAAAATTTTAATTAAAAAAGTAAAAATAAATAAATATAAAGGGTATAATTGTTTGTTTATGTGTATTAGGACGAAAATCACTAAAAATATTCAAAATTAAACCATTCTTACACCACCAAATATTTTTGGACCAAACTCATATAAGTTTTACAAACGCATAAACCAATTTTTATAACTTTGTCTAAAATTTATTAATGTTAATGTTCGTTGTAAACGGTTAAATTTTAATATAATTGCTTTTTAATTTATTTTGTTATAAATTATCAGAGATATATAATATAATTGGTGTTTTATTTTTTTTTTTGTTTGTGTTTTGGGGTTGATATTTTTTGCTTTTTGGCGGAAAGTATTAAACTCCTTATCCACCCACATTAGACACCCCAAGCCCCAACTCATCATCATCAATGGCGTTGCTTCGTTTTGTATGCTTTCCTTCACCCTCTCTCTTTCCTAACCAACAAAACCAGCAATTCTTTCAACCCATAAACCCTAATCCCTCATCTCTACAATCCTTATCTCTCTCCGCTTCACTTCCCAATCGCTTCCTCAAAACCCACAGACCTAGTTTTCTTGTTTTCCAAACCCAATCCGCCGTTGAAGCCCCACAAGTTGACACCTCAACGGATACTGAACAACAATTGGAAGAAGAAGAAGAAGTAGAGGACGAAGGCTCTAGAACAAGATTGCTTGCTCAGAATGTTCCTTGGACTTGTACTGCAGATGAAATTCGCCCTCTGTTCGAGAAGTACGGCACCGTTGTTGATATTGAGGTTCGCAATTTGCTTTCAATTTCTGTTAGGGTTCTTTTCGTTTTCTTAGATATTAGCAGTTATTTCCATCTGGATTTCTCCCTAATCTGTTAAAAACTACACTTTTGCCTTCTCAATCGCAACATATACCAAGCTTTCTTCCATCAGCCCAATACAATGCAACATTTTTGTTTCATAAGCATTTGCAAGTTAGAGTGTTTAGAAAAAGAAAACGATTCTGATTCTGATTCTGATTACTTTGTCTATTCTCATGAAGGTTTCGATGTATAGCAAAACCAGAAATCGAGGTTTAGTGTTTGTTTCAATGGGTTCACATGATGAAGCATTGGCAGCTTTCACCAATCTTCAATCATATGTAAGTATTGATTCGACTCCACTTAGCTATGAAACTCAAATAATCATTTTCATCATAAAGATAGGAACCTTTTTCGATTTTCCTTTTCATTTTCTGTAATAATTCTTGAACATATTTATTTAGGAATTTATGGGTAGAACCCTAAATGTGACATGGGCAAAGCCAAAGAAGTCAAAAGACCCTTCTACCCCTGCACAACCAAAGCCAGCTCCTGTCCACAACTTATTTGTTGCAAACTTACCATTTCAAGCAAGATCAAAAGACCTTATGGATTTCTTCAATGCTGAAAATAGCAACCCTGTATCTGCTGAGGTTATATTCCATGAAAAACCACGAAGCTCTGCTGGCTATGGCTTTGTTGCATTTAATACCAAACATGAGGCTGATGCTGCTCTCTCTGCTTTTCCAGGGAAGGTAAAAACATATTTTCATTCATTTGTTTATTATAATTATATTATTGAAAATACATTAATGCTATAAATTATAATCATTTTGTTTGGATTGTGTTGTAGATATTTATGGGAAGGGCGATTCGAGTGTCACCTAGTAAAAGATTTCTTAGACAATCGACAAAAAAGGCTCTTGAATCTAAAGAAGAATCAACGAAATCGGATGAAGTTGAAGTTTAATTACTTAAACATTTTTGTTTCAATATATTAAATGTTTTAGAAGATGTGGTTATGAATATGTGTAGAATTCACTTGGTTAGATATACTATTATAATTTGTTATTGAAGTTTGTATGAGGAAAAAAAAGAAACAATTACACCATGAGAGGAGAGGAGAGGAGATTGCAACTTTTTGATCGAGACAAATGACTGAAATACCCTTTATTTGTGAGAAAGTATCGGGAATGGGAATCAACCAATGCGATTGATATATTCTAATGATTGATGACGATGAGTACGTAAGAGAGGGTTAAGTGGATGAATGTGTAAAATTACCATTATGCCCATGGCAACAAATCAAGTAATGTTAGTGTTTTTTTATTGGTTGTAGTATTTTGGGGATATTTATGAAGATAGAGAGAGACTTGAAATAGTGAAAATTAATAACGAGTGTGAAAGTAAAGGGTAAAATGGTCGAGGCTTAAATTACTAAAATTGTGAGAAAATATATTTTTAAGGGATGAGAAAGGTTAAAAATACTTTGTAAGGACCGCTGCTGTAAAAATCAACAAACCACAAGAACAAAGTGTGTAGTTTACCTTCAAATTTCTCATCTCTACATAAAATAAAAATAAAAACTTTTATCTTTTTTGGATTTGAAATTAGGTTAGAATTTCATAAATTTTGTCCTTAAGACGTGAGAGGATGGATTAGTGATGTTGAAATGTTATCAGAATGAGACATAGAGGAATCTGGAGACTCACTTGAAGCGTCCTAAATAGATTGCTTAATGTTTTGTATTCATGGTAGATGAAATTGCAAGTCAACAACTCACTTGGTAATGGCATGACAATATAATATAAGGTTTTTTATCCATTGGTAATGTCATATAAAAATTAATTATTGTATAGCACAAATTGATAAAGTTTTGATCAAATGTAATGAAATATTGAAATTAAACTTTTCATGGAGAAAGAAAAGAAGTGTACGTACAAAAGTTGGGAGGCGCGGTTGTTGGTTAAGTATGATGGGCCAAACATCCATGTGGTTGGTTCTATTTTTCATTTTGGGTTATCAATATGTTTTAAGTGTGAGAAAGATAAATCTAATCTAATAAATAAAAATGTTTTTGCCACATGTCATATTCTTATTAATTTTGTCACATGTAATTTTATAGTTATTTTAAATTAATTTTTATTCCACATGTCATTTTATAGTTTTTCTATTTTATTAAATTTCATATATTATTTAAATCTAATAATAAATGCATATCAATTTCATTAATGGGCTTTCCTTCTAATTTCAAAATTACTAAATTAAAGTTTCATTAATTTCTTTATTTGTTTATCTAAATCATTTGTTTAAATTTAAAAGAGAAAAAAAAACACTTTAATTTTTATAATTCAATATTTTTCTCACTTTTCTTATAAATTCAAACTTCTCAAATATTTTGAATTTTATATTTAAAATTTGGACAAATTACACGAATGGTCCCTATGGTTTGGTGTTTGTTACGCGCCTAGTCCTTAACTCCAATTTTTAACCCTGCCAATCCTTAATAGTTTGGTTTAGTGCACGCCTGGTCCCTCATCTAACCTTCCGTTTGATTTTGGAGTTAAAACCCCCACGTGCCTTGCACGTTGAGGGTTATTTCCGTCATTTTACTTATTCATCCTTCAAAAACCCTAGATCGGTGCATCCCCCTTTTCTTCCTCTACGTTTGTTCTCTCATTTCATCTCTCGTTTCTTTAATGGACAAAAAATCAACAATGGTGAAATGTAATTGCGGGCAACCAAGTGTTATACTGACATCATGGACCGACGACAACCCCGGAAGAAAGTTTTATGGCTGCACAAAGAAGGAAAGGTCGTTTTGATTCTAACTCAAGCTTTTGTGTGACAATGATCGTAAATCTGTTGGATTTGAACTTGACAGGGACCTAAATGTAAGTTTATTGGATGGGTTGATGAGGAAGGATGTGGACGATGTACTAGGATAATTCCAGGGCTGTTGAAGGCTAAGAACAAAGTTGAAGTTGAGAATCGGCTGCTAAAGATAATCATTATTTTAAGTTGGGTGTTCATAAGAATCATTATTTACAAGTTGTAGTGCTTAAGAAGATCCAACTAGTATGCTATGTAGGATGTTTATGTCTTTTTTGAACTTATTTTGACTTCTATGATCCATGTAGTTGGTTGTTGTATGTGAATTTGAAGTGTTTTGAAGTGTTTCTGGAATGTATTTTGATTAAGTGTTTGAGAATTTGATAATATTTTGGTTAAGTGTTTGATTAAGTGTTTCTGGAACTTATTTTGACTTCTATGATCCATGTATTTTGATTAAGTGTTTTTGGAACTTATATGGAAAAGTGTTTGATTAAGTGTTTCTGGAACTTATATGGAAAAGTAAACACTAACAATTGACAAAAACAACCAAACATATGCTAACAATTGACATAAACAACCAATAACACAAATGGGATTTAATAAAGGGTAATTTAGTTTCCATACTTTCCATAACATAGTTTCATACATCAACAAAATGATTAACCAAAAGAAACACAATTTACCCAAAAGTATTAACCATAAGGACACAGTTTTACCAAAAGGACACAGTTTAACCAAAAGAACTGATTAACCAACAAAACATACTTTCACTAATGGATCAAGTCCCTTTCCCTCAACTAGCTTTTCCTTTTCCCTTACCAGAACCACCAGGACCACCAGAACCACTAGGAGCAGCAGGAGCACTAGATTTTTGTCCCTTACAACTCCTTGCATTATGACCAATGTTGTTGCACTTTGAACAAGTGACCGACTGAAGGACTCTTGATGCACTATTACCCTTCACCATGTCATCAATTTCATAAGCTGATTTTCTGCGTTTCTTCTTTGGTCTACCTATTGTGACACGATGTTTAGGAGGAACCAAAGTTGTTGGACACACAGACTTTTCCCACATGCTTCTCCCATTAATGGGCTCAATTTTGAATGAGTACATCTGTTTCCAAGTTTTTAGCCAATATACCTCATGCACCCAAGTTTTTGGTATTCCGACATCCTTACTATTCTTTCTCATCTCCCATATAGTAGCAACAACATGTTTGCATGGCATCCCAGTGAGTTCCCATTTCCTGCAGGAGCATGTTTGTTGAACCACATCCACCGCGCACTGGTCCATCCAAGGGCCACTTACCTGATACTTACCATTTCCACAAAAAACAGATCTATAATCTTCTGCCTTTTTTTATATTTTCCAAAGTCTGCATAGCTGTAGGTGTCAAAGGACCAATACATTTCCCAATGGCCTTTTCTACATTCACAATCTTCTTCATTAGATATTCCCTAATAAACTCTAGGCAAGTAATAATTGGTTTATCACGGCCCTCATTCAGTTTTCCATTGAATGTTTCACACAAGTTATTAAGAATCACATTAGAATGTGCTCTCCCTGTCCAATCACGTCACTTAAAGTCAATACTAAAAAGCTACATAAACCAGGAAAACATAAAGAATGTTACTAGAATGAAATGTTATACCAGTGAAATGGGACTTAGACCAGTGCTGAGGTGGTATCTTCTTAAGCCACTCATAACAATCCTTGTTCAATTTCTTTAGCTCTTTCATGCCTTTGTTAAACTGTTGTACATGTGTTGCAGTTGCACATGTCCATAAGAGGTCTTCGAAAGGTTTACCCCTCCACTGCTTCCTCATGTTATCCCGAATGTGACGAACACAGTAACGATTTTCAGCACAAGGAAACAAGGTTGCAATTGCATTTAGAATACCCTAACAATCATACATAGATTTTGTTAGTAAACAATTAAGAAATAAAGTAAAAAATCTATGCTTTTAGTACCTTTTGTTTGTCTGTTATAAAACTGAAATTAGAATTAGTATTCAAGCCAAGATCCTCCCCAAGACAACTCAAAAACCAAGTCCATGAATTGATGTTCTTTGTTTCAACCACCGCATATGCCAATGGATATGTGCCATTATTACCATCCAGTCCCTGCATTTTTATGATAAATAACAATCATACATAGATTTTTACTTATTTTTATGTATAACAATAAGTAAAAGAACAAAAATTAAAACTTACCACGGCTGAAAGAATTTGTCCGGGAAATGGACCCTTCATGAAAGCACCATTAAAGCCAAGAAAATCCCTCTTTCCAGCTGCGAACCCTTTCTTTAAAGCTCCTAAGCATATGTAAATGCGTCTGAATGTCCTAGTTTCACTGTGTGGATTTCCTTCGCTTTCAACATCAACCCTAACAGTCGTATATGGGTTACGAGTTTGCAGCTCAACAATGTAATCTTTGAGTAAAATATACTGAGTAACGAAATCTCCTTGCATAAGGTTTAGAGCCTCAGATTTTGCCCTAAATGTTTTCATCCTAGAAAGATCTACCTTAAACCTCCGTTGTAGCTGTTCTTGCAAAGCCCTAATTGGAATAGTAGGGTTACTTTCAACCTGTTCAACAATGTTAGAAGAGAGGAATTTATACGTACATGCTTTCATTGTTCTAGTTTGAAGACATTTATGGACTTTGTTGTACGTTTTAACTGTCCAGTTGACATCCTTTTTCCATTTACTAGCTAATAAGACCCAAGGACATATTTCTTCTTCATCGTTGACTTCTACATTAGGCCCAAGTTTTGGTATTGTTCCCTTACAAACCCATCTCACTCTATTCTTGTCATTTTTTTTCAAGGGCCAACTCCCTTCTAGTCTCTATGTGTAACGCTCCGAAAATACAACCCAAAAATTTTTGTTTTAACATTACTAAAAATCACAACGTCAAATGTTATATAATAAAGCCATGCATTATATGTCTCAAAATGCCATAGTAAATGTATCAAATCAAAACTGAAGTCAATATCATATCAAAATATCTGAATAAAACTCCCAGGATAAAACTGCAACTGTGGTGTGTGCCATGCCATCATCCCGAGCTCTTCCCCTTGCTAGCGGAAGTACCTGAAACCAAAACTGAAACTGTAAGCACAAAGCTTAGTGAGCTCCCCCAAACTACCACATACCATAAAATAACATATAAAGCAACTACTGGGCCTTGCCCACTGCATCGGACCGAAGTCCGGAAGCTGCATCGGACCGAAGTCCGGAACTAACCAGGGCCTTGCCCTCTGCATCGGACCGAAGTCCGGAAACTGCATCGGACCGAAGTCCGGAACTAAC